AAGAAGAAGAAGAAGAGAAGAAGAGATTGGATTTATACCCCGCCCTTCACTACCCAGAGGTGTCTCAGAGCGGCTTACAAACTCCTTTCCCTTCCCCTCCCCACAACAGACACCCTGTGAGGTGGGTGGGGCTGAGAGAACTCTGACACAAACTGCTCTTTTTCAAGGACAGCTGTGCCGAGCTTGTGACTGACCCAAGGTCACATCAGCAGGTGCAAGTGGAGGAGTGGGGAATCGAACCCGGTTCTCCCAGATTAGAGTCCGCGCACTTAACCACTACACCAAACTGGCTACACCAATTAGCCTGCACTGGAGCCATCCTTCCTGAGCTAAGACAAAAATCTGTGAGCCAGAGGCTAAAAAACGATGAGGTAGCTCACACCAACTCAGCTTAGAGGGAACACTGGACATGATCCCAAAGGTTGAGAACTTAAAGGGATGGTTAAACTGAAAAAGTAGGTAAAGCAAAGCCTCTTAACAGAATAGGGGGATTTAGGGGAGCAGATTGAGAACAAAAAGTATCGTAAAGCTCTCGGAACAGCGAAAGCATCGTTCTGGAAGAGGGCCTGTGGTCGAAGACAGGTGGGCTGGGAAGGAACGCGTAAGCCACTCGAAAGAAGAGGACTCCAGCCCATTTCCCTTTGGTTTTGCAGGGGAACGAAGCAGGCTAGCAGTGCCGGGCTACATGGAACGATGCACCGTGAAATCCTACCTTAATAGGACTGCCAGAAACTCAGATCGCTCCTCCTTCCCGTGAAATGATTTTCCAGAAGAGAAGAGGCGCCGTGGCGACATGCCGCTCCGTCTCATTGTTCCGGCCGCTGCACTGACAGCCAGACACGACGATGAAGTCCGCAGCAGCCCAGGAGTTAAAGCCACCGTGGTTGTTGTCTGCGTTCTGGCATGTGCGAGTCAAGCAGACGGCTCCGATCGCCGGGCAACTGTGGACATGCAGTCCTCTCCCTCACAAAATCAGCATCTCGTTCTGGACCACACTGTTGAGCACGGAGAGGAACTTCAAGCAGACAAGGAGGTAGGTCTGGGAAGCCCACCAAAGCAATGAATCGGTGTGCAATTTGAGCTGATAAAGATAGAGTGTTCTCCCTTGGTTTTTTTGCCTCCGAAGGTTGACAGCGTAGCAGCGTGCCACCACGAGATGGGCATTCCCCGCCGGAACGAGCAGAATCTCCCCTGTATAAGAGCTGTGAAACCAACGGCCAGACTTTCATTCTGGCTCGCTAGCAACAACCTCTTAACTTCGGCCCTCCCTTCCAATCAGTGACTGTTGTTTTCCATTTAGTAAAAAAAATTATTCGCGGTTTAGGTTGGAAGGGGAGTAGAGTCATCGGTGGACGTCAAGCATTCGAGCAGGCGGAAGGTATTTGTAAGCAACCAGCCCTTCGGAGCCGGTTTATTTTTGCTTTTTGGACAAGAACGTTCTCGTCACGAGGATTCCTTTGGACCTTGGGAGTTTCAGCATGTCGACCCAGTGCTGGGAGCAGATATAATGGAACCGGGGAGATATACCACTCTGCCCTGTTATCCAAACACCACCGGCGGTCACCCCAATGACACTTCCGAGGACCTCGGCACTACCGGGGGCACGGTGGTTACTTCCTTGCTGGGGTGCATCCTGGCCGCCATGTGCCTCGTTGGGATGGCCGGAAACATCTACACGCTGGTGGTCGTCAACCTCTCCATGAGACTGACCGGCTCGATGTCGGTGTATATCATCAACCTGGCCCTGGCGGACCTCCTGTACCTCTCCACCATCCCGTTCGTCGTCAGCACCTACGTCTTGAAGGACTGGTACTTTGGGGACGTGGGGTGCAGGGTCCTGTTCAGCCTGGACCTCCTCACCATGCACGCCAGCATCTTCATCCTCCTGGTCATGAGTACGGAGAGGTACCTCGCGGTGGTCAAGCCCCTGGACACCATCAGGAGGCCGAGGGAGTACCGCAGGATGATCACCTGCTCCGTGTGGCTGGTGTCCTTCCTCCTGGCCTTGCCCACCATGATCCTCATCGACTTGCGGACCAGCATCCAAGACGGGGTGATCAAACGCATGTGCTACCCCACGTGGCAGATGGAGGCCTACAAAGTCTACCTCACCGTCCTTTTCAACACCTGCATCTTGGCCCCGGGAGTCGTCATTTGCTACTTGTACGTCCAGCTCGCCAGGACTTACTGGAGATCTCAGGTGGGCCTCTTCAGCCCCAAGGAAGTGAAGAGGTGCCCCCGGCAGAAGGTCTTGTACATGATATTTAGCATTATCCTCGCCTACTGGACTTGCTTCATCCCGTTCTGGCTCTGGCAGCTGCTCGGCGTCTACCACCACCAGACCAGCGACATTGCAGCCAACACGGTGGTCAACTTCCTGGTGACCTGCCTGGCTTACAGCAACAGCTGCATCAACCCTTTCCTCTACACGCTGCTGTCCAAGAATTACAAGGAGTACATAAGGAGCCGGCACAAGAACAGCACCAGCCTCTCCAAGATGAAGCCGAGGAGGAGCTCCTCAAAGAGGTTGGTGTTATCCGGAAGCCACCAATACATGGAGACGGTGGCCGTTGCGCAGGTCAAAGGCGCCAACTGTGAAGATGTTGTGTCTTTGTGAGCTGGTGAGAAGGAGAAGGCAGGGCGAGGGATGTAAAGAATATCAAATGCCATCCACTGTCGGGGCTCGCAAAGGTTGGAATCCCATGTCTGGAGCTTACCATCGGTTGACTGGTCTTCAAGGTTTGATATCGCACTGACTCAACTTTCTCTGCCCTCTGCAGGGTTTCTCGGACTAGTTTGCTTGGCTGGGAGCCATACGCATAATGAAATTCCCTTTACTTTCCAGCCGTCTCGCAGGCAAACATGTGCAAACGCATTTAAGGACTATAATTTAAGGTATGTAATTTATCATGTTGCCCACAATTGCTGATTGGAAGAGCAATTTCTACAGGTAACATATCTTTCAACTATTATTCTTATACATTTACGCCTCTTCTAATGTCATTCTTTTTTCAATA